CAGAAAAAATTCTTGATTTATTTTCAAAGATAAATATCTTCTACAATCAGTGGCGGCGGAGCGTGGAGGCTCAAGAGGCTTAAGCCTCACTTAGTTTTCAGCCCTTGAGGCTCAGCCTCACTTATTTTCGGATTGAATAATATCTTTTATTGTTAGAATTTGTTATGTTTGACATCTAACATAACTAGATATATATTCTGACACATCTACCTTTTAATGCGGTTCACCTATTTTTTATATGTTTTTCTTTTCTCTATTCTTGTATCGCATAGATATCACATACAGCTTATATATATCATGTATGTTTTTCTTTTCTTTTACTTGGATATTTCCCTTGTCTATATGGTACTCAGATATTTTTCCTCTTTTCTTACATTCTTTCTTGTCCACATGTTTAATTTTTCCTCATTTCGTCTATATATGTTTTATTCCCAGAACGTTTGGTTTTTTCAAGCACATATACACATACATATATATTATTACGGCAATAAAGAAGTAGCTCAGTAGTGATCGAATTTATTTATATCCTCTTCACAGTGTATTTAATGGCTGAAAAACGTCCAAACATACATCCATTTTTCTTTTTGACACATTTACAAAGAAAAGTCTCTGTTCAACTTTCGCATGGATGGAGGAACGAACAAAGAAAGTTATTTTTTGGTACGTTCTAATTTATTTTATTTTCACAATGACCGTTATAGTCTTTATTGAGGTCTAATAAAAAGAAGACTTATATTTTGCTTCATGTTTTAATAAAACTTCACAACAGAAAAAAATATTGTGAGCCTCACTTAAGTTAATGACGCTCCGCCGCCCCTGTCTACAATTATTCAATAACAGGAGCTCAGTCTATTAGACTCAACTCTTATATTTAAATAATATACATATCATGATCAAAGTTTGAATTTATCTATTAGTTTGTTGTCCGATAAATTTCATATAAAATAATCTGATGTTAGAACTATTTAACTCATATATTTGCTAAAAGGTGATTTTCTTTTATTTGCTGAAGAAAAATGAAAAGATTTTAAATATTATATAGAATTTAATATATATCAAAGAAAAGAGTAAATTAATCATGTAGAAATGTTAGAAGTATACTAATCGTAGGGAGGACAATAGAGTGTGTGGGGCCGTTGCACTTCTTGCTTTTGAAAAATTTTGTTTTTTGAGTCATTCAGTTGAAAATAGTTTTAGAAGCTGAATATAATGAGAGTTATTTATGATGAACAACAGTCACCTTCTTTCGTTATTATTCGTATAATACTGTATTTTTAAATCTAAGTGACGATGAAAAATAAATCAAGAAATTAATGTGGACAATAACGCCTCATTCACATAGGTAGTCTTTTCAATAGCAGTGTGCAAACGCGTGTATTTGACTATACATATGTGTATGCATAGATATTGAAAAAAGAAGCACCCTCTTGTATATTGTCGACTATCATAAATGCAATCATTTTTTCGATTCTCTACTTTGTACAGGTATGTGCAAAACTAAAATATATATGACACATTGAAACGCAACGTGTAGCAAAGAAAAAGCTCGAATCAGATAGGATTGACTGTACAAAATTATTTTGTCTTCATTTATGAGTGTCGTGAGCAAAAAGAAAGAAAGCAAGAATAAAACTGATTCCTACAATGTATATACGTATTAATCTTTTCCTCCTTCACGTTCTAACTGGTCTACAGTAGAAGTAAATGTTTTTTCGAAATGAATGGTATATCTACTGATCACGCTTGAATAATTTACAAAAAAAACCTAGTCTTTTTTCTTTTGCTTTACGAAGTCGTGTATATAAACACAGCATATTCATCAAAAACAATACTACATCACAATATCAACGATTGCTCTAGCTATCACTAGTAACCATGCGCACAAGCATTCTCATTATCATTGCTCTTGTTGTCATCTCCATCACCATGGTCTTCGCACGACCAGGATCAGCGCCACAACGTCGAGAAATACCAATGTTTGATCTTCGAGAAATACCGATGTTCGATCTTCGAGATCAGCCAATGTTCAGTCTTCGAGAAGTTGCTAATATGCTCCTAAAGACTCGCCAAACAGAGGATCTATCTGATTTATATGAACTCGGATATCGAAAGAAATAAATCGGTATATGTTCTTTCATGTCAACTGCAACAACATTGTCTAACATAGAGTCGTCGAGAAAAAAACATTATTAGTTTTTAAATTTTGCTCTTTTGCTATTATTTGCCATTCTTTTCCTTTTTAGTTTTTGTATAGATCAATAAACATTTAAAAAAAACTATTGATATATTTTTTTATTTGATTTCATAAAATCGATATAAAAATGAAAAGTAGTCATATAATTCGAAAATAATTACTCAACTACTTCTTAAACTTATATGATATTTTTTTTGATATTTGTAGGATTTTTAAAGTCTACCATATGTAAGATCTATAGACAATTGAATCAAATTGTTGCTATCTTATTATTCATAGATTATTGTTAGTGATTATTCATGATTGTAATGTAAAAGTAAGATGATATTGTATATGTAGACTAACGAGAGAATTGATTAATTATTTTTGAGTTCAGACTCTGTACATAAGGTAGACCCCAGTGAAGTATAATAAATCTCAAAAGAATATGTGCCCATAGCCTTTTTATACAGAGCTATAGACATTTTATTGTGAATCTTCTTGGTGAAATATTTATTGGAGAATTTCTTATTTTCATTGCGCTATTTAGGTATAAAAATGAATGTTGTTCGTTTTTTCATAGTCACATCATAATTGTTTTCTGTGTTATTCTTTATCATTAATATTTGTTAGATTTTATAGATTATCATCAATAAAATCATTTTTATCATCATCACCTTCCATTTATTTACATTTTCAAGATACGGTAGGCTTTTTTCATTGTGAATTTCTCAAAAATTAACAGGCTAAAATTATGGATTTAATATTTTTTTTCAGTCTACGTCAGTTACACAGGTTGAAACCATTGGTTACATCCACAAGAGAAAATCCTCACAAATCATTTCAGGCCGTGTAAGATATCGTTTCCGATGGTCGGAATGATCGTCCTGAGCTGTTGATATTAATGTTGATATGCTGGATGACTTTAAATTAAGTACAACACCCATCGGCACCGACGCCTTGAGCTCGTGTATGTCGTTTGTATTGCATTTTTGGTATGAACAAAATCCAGGCTGTTTTTTGATGCACTATTCCGATTGGATCTCAAACATTAATCGAGCACCATTAGTATTACTTGAAGAACTTTTACAAAATCTTGCTATTAATTTGACACACCAGATGGGTATTGACTCACTTAGCTCAACATCTCATACATGTTTAATATCTAATTGCCAACTGATCATTGCCGGTAATGATTTAGACTATGCAGTACCAATTCAGGCCGCATTTTCATTTCTTAATTCACCTACATTTGAATTTAGCAAAATGTCTAATGATTACAAAGGTGATGTTTATATGCTTACGAATCAACTAGTAAATAATGTAATCATTTTAAAATCAGTGATTCGAGGATCATATGGTGAGTAAAATTCTCTTTCTCGTAGAGAAGAGTCCAGTAAACATAAATTGTCTGATTGCTTGCTTGCTTGCTTGCTTGCTTGTGTGTCCGCAGGGTCAAAAAAACATTTAGATTTAATTTTTCAGATACTTCCGAAAAACTTTGGCTGGGGGGTAATCGAGGGTGGGGAACTTGAATCTGAGGTTAGTTTATTAAAATTAACTAGTTAATAATCAGTTAATAATTGGTATTATTAATTTTTGAAATATTTTCGGAAAAGTTGGACCAAAGGGTAATCGAGGGCGGGGAACTTGAATCTGGGGTTAGTTTATTAAAATTAATTAGTTAATAATCAGTTAATAATTAATATTATCAATTTTTGAAAAACGTTTGACCGAAGGGTAATCGAGTGCCAAGAATTCGAATGTGAGGTTAATTTTAGTTAAAAATCAATTAATAATTAATTAATATTATTAATCTTAAAGATAGCTCCAAGAAAGTTTTACCAGAGGGTAATTCGAGAATCGATTTTTTAGAAAAGACATTTTTGGAGCATTTCGATGCGGAGACTTCGAATCTGATGTTAGTTTTATAAAATAATTTTTTGGATCACTTTTTTAAGGAGAGAACCAATTTTTATAAAAAAAAAATTTTCATAAGGGGTGACCGAAGGGTAAGTGGGGTGGAAGAACACAAATCTAGTGTTAATTTTTCCAAACTGTATAAGCAAAAAGTTTAGTATTGTAGAATACGATTTCTACGAGAAAGAGCTGAGCGAGTCTGCAGACGAGCGTTACTTGTTGAATAGAAGGTCTTTTCGATTCTACGAATATTTATATATATTATAGTCAAATCAGCACGTAAAGACAAAGATATTGTAGCCGAATTCTTTCGTTACTCTTGCCTGAATAAAAATATGGTAACTGGCGTCACATTACTCTGTGGTGGATATTGTGCTGATTTAGCTATACTACAGATGAATATAGACAAAATGAAATAAAACGGCATCTTCAAACAAAACTAATTGAATAATCTCCTTCATGCCTTTCTATGATATGAAGGAGACTCAATTCCTGTAGTTTTCCTCATTCTTTTCTATTTCATTAACTTGTTATTTTTTTTCTGTATTAGCTCTTCGATGTTTCCGTTTGTTTTTCTTTTGTTCTCTTGCTTATTTCTGTTATTTTCCCGCGTTATTGTTATTGTTAGTTAGTTTTTTTTCTTTTTATCCTATGTACTGTTAGGACCTGATGGTCACCAGTTATTGCGAAAATAAAATGAAAAATGAAAAAGATGTTATGAAAATAAAAAAGCATTAATTTAACGATTAGAAGAATCGTTGTTACTTATTCCACAAGATGTTTTTATTACTTGGTAAGCTATTATTTGTTCTTCTCTCTTCTAATATAGTTAAAACTCTTTATTTTGTTAGGTGGTGTCATCATCTTTTGTTTCATCGCGTCATATATATATATATCTTCTTTGGTTCTGAGATTACTCAGGACGATGGTTCCTGAAGCAAGATTCCATGAAATTCTAGCAAAATCTCTGAGGAAACTCGCCATTTCTGGGCGCAAGCCACCGTTCCCGTGGCGCATTGTTCGACCTGGGTTATAGTGAGTAAAACTGAATAGAAGGTCTTTTCGATTTTACAAATATTTATATTTATTGTAGCTAGCTCAACAAGTCGTGATAGTGACATTCTTGGTGGTTTCCTATATTATTCTTGCTTGGACATGAATATGGTGGTTGGTTTAGAAGTTCTTCATGGAGGGATTTGTGAAAATGTTGCTATGTTACAAATGAATGTAGTTGAAACAAAAATCAAAGCAATTAAATGGCACATTCAAACTAAATTGATCGAAAAATTGAAAAGTCGTTTTGCAAATGATAATAAATTTATTCAACGACTAGAAGCATCATTATTACTTATTCCACAACATGTTTTTGTTACTTGGTAAGTTATATTTATTCTTCTCTTTTCTAATATAATTCAAATTTTTATTTCTTTTATAGTCCATATCACTCATTAAATGTTAAAGTTGGTATTAATGGATTTGATCATATTGATCAACTTATATTTCGATGTGCAGTTGAATAAGCTATACAAGTAGTTGCTATTAATGATTAGTATTATAATTTCTTTATTCATGTTTTATGATTAATAAAATATTCAGTGCTGCCACATATTCTGCTTTTTAGACTTTTTTGTCTTTTATATCTTCAATAATCGTTTAACACAAAGTTATGTAGATTGTAAGATCCGATCAACTCTGGATGTTATCACTTTCTCTTACTCTATCGTCAAAATTTAAAAAACTCTTATGTTGAATCTGTATTTTTACAAATGAGACATTTATTAAATGACAAGCGGAACTGTATGGCAATAGAATTAGTGTCGACTAAATTAAAAATACATTTAAAAATAATGTTCAGTAAATGTATTTATCTATGTTAAATTTTTTTTTTGCGCACTAAAATATAAAATATAATACAAAACTTTCTTATTATTTTATTACGGCTGGGCTTAAATTATACTTGGATATTAAAAAACACTTTCTGCTTTTCAAAGGGTAAAAAGTGGCAGCACTGCTCTTTACTATTGCAGAATTTGTGCATGAGGATCTTCAACAATCTTGATTACTTCTTTTATTTGATATTCGTCAATAATGGATGGTACACAACTTATGAATATATAAGTGAGACAAAATATCTCGTGTATACAATGATATCTATTATTTATTATTGAACTGCGCTTTGTTCCGCAGCTATTCTGTTATTGTTTTCATTATCATCGTTAAATGATCGATTGCGAGTTTCAGGAAGAAGAGTAACGATGCCGATCATGATAAAAGTTATTCTCGAATAAATATAAAATGTTAGTTTTATATATTTGTCACCAAGTGCAGCATCAACAATAGGCGCTAAAATGGCACCAAGACGACCAGTAAATACAAAAATAGAATTGCTTAAGCCACGAATTGATGTTGGAAAAAGTTCTGGAACATAAACCCATGAAGCTGATACTGCTCCACTGATTGTTAATTTACCCATTTGTGAAATGACAATAGTCACGATTAGATAGTTTTCTTTAATAAATGGAATGGTAAGTACACAGAATGATGTAAATAATGCAAAAATCATCAGTGTATATTTTCTTCCCAATCGTGTCGTAATAAGAAAACTAGCAGATATATAACCGATACCTTCAACAATAGCTCCAATAACTATACTCCAATGAGGACTTAAATTTTTATTCATCGCACCAAGTCCGTACGATATTTTTATATATAGAAGCATGGTAATAAACGCGATTAGACCGCTAATACATAATCTGATCAATATGCGTCTGATGTTTTTTTTCTTTGGTTTTATTGTAGTTTTCATCTGTATAGAAGAATCTTGTATTAATTGTCTATAAAGTTGAAACCATTCTGTATTTTCGCGTTTATTGATTTTGGCAATATTTCTAAGACAAACTTCAAGTTGTGCATATTTTTTCTTGTTAAACAACCAATAGGGTGATTCTGGCACGAAATATAGATAAAAAAGCATGAGACCAATATAGCCACTATTAAACCATTTATGATTTAGCCAGTTACGAGC